CATTTCCGCCGGGAAGTTCATGTGAACAAGTTGTGTGAACATCGACTCGAAGTTCATGTGAACATGAAGCTGACATGCTCATTGTACCAGGTTATAATCATTTCTATTTGAACCGAACAGATAAACGTGGTGGTGGTGTTTCTATTCACGTAAAATGTTCTATTAAATGCGAGTTGCTACATGCGTTTTCTCAAATATCAAGCGATTATGATGTACTAACTCTAAAATGTGGTAACACTATTTTTACTGTTATATACCGCCCCCCTTCGGCAGATTTTGGAAACTTCATTTCTTTTCTTGAGCGCTTCTTTGACTATGTCTCGGTAAATAACTATCGCCTTGTTCTAGGCGGCGATTTCAATGTTAACATATTAGATGACTCCTTCTATTCAAATTCTCTCAGTAGTACACTCAACTCTAACGGCTTTGTAAATGTAATTACGTCTGCTACTAGAATCACCCAAACCACGTCAAACGCAATTGATCTTTTTATTACGAACGTTACAACCAAAGTTAAGGTATCTGGCACTATAAGCTGCAGTATCAGTGACCACATTCCCATTTTCTTGTCGATACAAAATTATGAAATACCGAAAAAAGTAAAAAGTACCGCCACTTTCCGTAAAATGTCCGATGACTGCCTCCTGGCATTTAGGGATGCAGTTTTTAACTGTGACTGGAGCTTTGTTTATTCCAGCTTAAACGTCGATGTCTCTTATAATACTTTCCTGGACGTTTTTAAAGAACTTTACCATTTGCATTTTCCGTTAAAAACCGTAACCGTAAACAAAAAGATAAGGAAACCCTGGGTGACCGCCGTACACATTAAAATGATGCATAAAAAAGACCGCCTATACACGGCTTTCCTAAAAACGAGGGACCCAAACAGGCTCTCATCTTTTAAGAAATTTAAGAATAATCTAACTTCTGAACTTAGAAAAGCAAAATCTTCATACTATAAGCATATGTTCCATAATGTCACTAGAGAGCGCCCCGATGTGGTTTGGAAAATAATAAATGAAGTCATAAATCGTACAAAGGTGTCCCCCTCTATCGGTGAATTAAAAATAGACGGTCAAGTTATGTCCGATGAAAGTCTGGCGGAATGCTTTAACACTCACTTTTCGGTTGAACAACCCACTGCTTTTAATCTCAGTGCCCTTTCATTTGTGAGGCATAATAACGATACTTTTTTTCTAAATCCAACTGACGAAATTGAGATATGTAATATATTCTTAGGACTAAAAAACAGCAAAAGTAGTGACGTTGATCAATTACAAATAAAGCCGGCTAAATATGTAATAGATATAATCGCCCCATGCTTAGCATACATATATAATTTGGCATTATCATCTGGACAATTTCCAGCAAACATAAAGTTGGCAAAAGTTTCTGCTATATATAAAGGAGGCGATAAGAACGTCCCGAATAATTACAGGCCTATATCAGTATTACCTATCTTCTCTAAGGCACTTGAAAAAACTGTACTCGCACGTCTAAATTCGTTTTTTTACAAAACATTCTATACTATCGGACTGTCAATTTGGTTTTCGACAAGGTAAATCCACTGAAGCCGCTTTATTACTTCAAAAAGAAATTATATTGCAAAATATTGAAAAAAGGCTTCTTACGTTAGGTGTATTTATCGACTTCAGTAAAGCGTTCGATGTTCTCAATCACCGCATTCTTCTTGCTAAACTTGGCAACTATGGTGTCCGCGGAGTACCCCTTGCTTTACTTACATCATATCTACAATATAGGAAACAGTGCGTAGTAATTGACGGTCATTACTCTTCCTTTCATAATGTTATCGCTGGTGTGCCGCAAGGAAGCATACTTGGGCCTTTTCTATTTAATGTATACATAAATGATATTGTTAACATCGATCGCAAAGTTCAGTTTGTCATTTATGCTGATGATACGAGCCTCTTTGTTTCTGCTACTGATGCTGATGTTCTGATATGTAAAGCGAATATCTTAAGTAAATTTGACGTGTGGTCCAATGTTAATGGCCTTAAAGTAAACACCCAAAAATCTAAAGCCATTTTATTTAGATCTATTAATAAACCAGTTCTGGTTGAAAATGAAATCAAACTTGGTGATTCACAAATTGAATTAGTTAGCCAACATAAAATTTTAGGAGTACTTTTTTTCCGAGTATATGATGTGGGACAGCCATGTTAACTATCTAATTGCTAAACTTTCCAGAGTTGTTGGCATTATTGCCCGCTGTCGTCATGTTCTACTAATCAGTATTAAGTTAAAACTTTACTACGCACTATTTGAGTCCAATTTAAATTACTGTAATCTTGTATGGGCTACGACAACTAAGACAAACCTTCACATTATACTATTATTGCAAAAAAAAAGTTTTACGTTTTATCGCGGGTGTCTCATATACAGACCATACAGAACTATTATTTTCTAGATATAAGATACTTCCCGTAGAACGCGTGTATAATTATCGTTTACTCTGTACCCTTCGTTTCTCATCGCCAACACTCATAGATTTTTTGTATTTTATTTCTGAACTTCAGAAACGTGAAAGTAATCTAAACACACGCCGTGTCGACACTTGGCTCCTTCCTCGGTGCCGCACAAATTACAACCTCCAATCATTGCATTACAAAGTACCATACGTGTTAAATAAATGTTCCACGAACAACATAAACATCTACACAATCGGCAAAAAAGACTTACGTACCTACTGTTTTAACTATTCATAGCTAATTTTGTTCTTCTGCTACTCCAATGTTATGTGACCTTGTTTTATTTTTCTTATCACCATGGTAAAGTGTTTTATATGTTTGCTGTCCGAGCTGCTGCCATGTATAAGGGGGACCCAGACCCAGTCAAGCTGCTTTTAGCAGCTTTTTGTCTGGGGACCCCTCCAGTACTTCTGGAAAAATAAAGTTTATTGTATTGTATTGTATTGTATCTTTTACGAAGTGCTGCAGTGTGATCGATGCAATTGTGCCCTCAACCAACGTGAGCAGTTACACTCGTTGACAAAAGGAGATGGAGATGGCGCCTTTAGGCAACATACCCGAGTAGCTTATGGAGCCTCCAACAAGAAGAAAAACAAATTCGACGATGCAGTTTCAGTCTCAGGTGGTTGTGCAGGATTCGTTCTGCCTAGGCTCGCGTTGATTGGGTTAGGAAAATAAATTAACATTTGTTCTACTCCCTCTATCAAAATAAATTACTCTGCCCGCCACTGTTAGCGCGAACAAGTGGGGTCACACTGCTCGTTTATATCATGCAATCACCGCAATATCCGTGGTTCGAATGCCGCGTGCAAAGTTTTCTCCTTGAACTCATTGCGACACGGCATTTGAAGTATGGATCTCACGCCGACTCGCGCTCGAATCTGTATACAGACTGTCGTTTGTATGGTGTATGAGCAGTGTGACCCCGACTTTAGCGTAACTGTGTGTGCTCCAGAGCTTATACGGTTACGCTAAAACAAGTGACCGTCTTTTCTTCCTTTCTTTTTTTTTTTTTTTTGTATTAAAGAGTTGTTATTACAACTCTAAATGTGGTGGAAAGTGCTCACTTGGGGCTCAAAAAATAATTGGTAAATTTTGGTCCCCGCCCTTGAACTAAATTGCTTAAAAGCACCGATGTCGTGTTCGCAATAACAGATTGACGCAGTGTATACCTCTGGCCAACATGTACTTACATCGCCGCACAAACTGCCTCGGTGAATGAGTCTTTGCGGGAGACCGTACAGGGGGCTAAAGATACGCCGTGCACGTGTGATTCTTCGCCGAAAGAGCGACCGCGGGAAATTTGGGGGGGGGGGGGGGGGGGGGGGGGGGGGGGTGCGCGGTCATGCTACGCAAACGTCTTTGTGGGAGGAAATTTAGTGTCGGATAATCCTGGGCGACGAACCTTCAGGAGGCTGCCAGCCGACAAGGGGCTTCGCGTGCCGAGTTTGGAAGCGGATTTAGCGCACTTTAAGCTTGATGCATGTGCGTAGACGGCGAGAGACGCCGCCGAGCTCGGGAGCCCAAGCTCGCCACGATTATGGGCCTTACTTATCGGGATTCGCGTGTTCAGTTTGATGCGGCTCATTGGAATTTGAGGCCACTGGTTCGCTGAAGGAAAGGGGAGAAATACAGCTCTTCGCAGGAAAAGTACATAATCGCTTTTATCTTTCCGACTTTCTCGTGCCTATAAGTATATAGGTACCAGCATTACAGCGACAAATTGATGCAAGCATGCAGATAAAACTAGGAATTCTCGTTTTCTCTAGAGACGCTGGTGTTCTCGTAGCGTAGCACAGAACCGGGTGCCTTCGGTATTTATTTCGGAGAACTAGTTTATCCATCCGTATTTAATCTGAATGGCAGTTATCTTCTCTCGCACACGTTTAAAACTTTAGGTGTTCCGTTTTGTGAAATCGCCGAGAAAGTTGTGCTTCATAGGCAACTTCCTTCATTTTATTCTTTACCGGCGGGTTAAAGGTCATCTGTAAAGCTTGTGGTCTTTTATGGCTTTCAGAGCCACTAATATTGAGTTTCTCATTCATGTAGGTAAGTTTGCTTCGCAATGGTGTAATGTCTCGGTCTATCTATCCCCATTTTCGGCGTATTGTTGTTTTGTTCTTCGGGCTCTTCACTCCTTCTGCAATGTTGGAAAATTATTGAAGAATTTATTTTTCACTGTTAACCAGATTTTTCGCACCAACTTCAATCTTATACGGATCGAATGTCCCATCTTTCTAGTGGCGAGTAAATAAATTATTTTCGAGACAAAAAAAAAATCCTTCAAATCATTTTTCATTGTCTCTCAGTCTTGCTTGCGTTACATTCACATTTATTTCGGGAATAAATCAACCCTCAGCTGCATTAGAAACGCCGAAAGAATACCTTGATCCATGTAGGCTCTTCGTTCTCCCCCATAAATTCCTAATTAATTCCCAACGGTTCGGTTCTCTGTCGGCAAGCATTCATTCTATTTCTCACAGGTTACTCTTCTGTTCGTCTTCCTCGTAGGTAGCCGCCTTTCGCCGCCCCGGAAGGCTCGGCCATGTCCATTTGGTCGGGGGACATCCACGGCGGTCTCCAGCTACCGACCCCCTACAAGATGTCCCACGACAACGAGTCGGTAAAGTCGGGCCCCAGCGAGCGGTCGCGGCGCTCTTCCAACTCGAGGCACCACCACCAGGGCAACAACATCCACCATCAAAGCCACCAGCAGCACCAGCAGCAGAACCACACGCCGAACCAGCACCAGCACCAGAACCACGACGGCCAGCAGTCTTACCGCGCCAGCAGGCGCCACTCCCACCGGTCGACGCGGTCCTGCCCGACCCAGGTCAAGGTGGGTGGAGACCGACGGGACGAGGTCATCGAGGTCCAGATCCTGCCGCAGGACGACAACTGGGGCGACAACACCACCGCCATCACGGGCAACACGAGCGAGCGGTCCGTGAGTGCCGAGGACGTGTCCCGGCTGGGTCGCGGTCCCGGGGACCAGGATACGCCCGGAGGCCTCTTCCGTTGCCACATGTGGGCGGGCACCGTGCTGACGGGCGTCCTGTCCCTGACAGCCTTCCTGTCGCCCGTGGTGATGGTGGCGCTGCCTCGCGTCGAGATGTTCGAGTGGAAGGTCCAGAAGTGCGGGCCGGAGTGCGACGGACTGCTCATCAGCTTCGCCTTCAAGCTGCTCATCCTGGCGGTGGCCTCGTGGGCACTGTTTCTGCGCAGGCCCCGGGCCACCATGCCGCGCATCTTCATCCTCAGGGCCGTGGTGCTGGCCATGGTGTTTGTGTTCACCTTTTCGTACTGGCTCTTCTTCAGCGTGCGCGTGTTCGAGAAGCGCCACCAGGACTACGAGCTCACCTACCTAAGCATTGTGCAGTTCGCGCTGTCGCTGGTGGACGCGCTACTCTTCATCCACTACCTGGCCGTCATCCTGGTCGAGGTGCGCCAGCTACAGCCCCAGTTCTACGTCAAGATCGTTCGCTCTCCCGACGGCCAGAGCCGCAGTTACGCCGTCGGGCAGCTCAGTATTCAGAGGGCGGCCGTATGGATGCTGCACAAATACTACCAGGTGAGCTGACCACTCTGGTCCGTGGATGCACCGGGAATGCGTCACGGCAATCATATTAGAGCTCCTTCAAAACTATCGAATGAGTTCTGAGCATTTTTCTCACTCGCACAGCGAAATGAAGCCCCACGTCTTATTGTTGATTTTCGGTTTGCGTTGGTTGTTAGTTTTGTTGAAACTCGTTGCAAACATTGAATTTATTATATTGAACGTCCCCAAGAAGATCGTGAGTTTAGGCCTGTGTTCTCCCGTCAAAGTTCGCTCTGCGCTTGTCTGTTGTTGTTGTTGTTGTATTGTAAATTACGGGAAAGGGGAAATGGCCCGTGCGGAAATGTTATTCTCCCATGACGGGAAAAGATTCGCACGGACGGGGGAGAAAGGAGTTAAAGAGGAGTGGTGGTGGGTGGGTGAGAAAATTTTTGCGATGCGTGTAAGGCGCTTCTAATAGCCAACTGCATTGGTTTGAGCAAATGTGTTTTGCAGGGGTACGTTAGATATCGCCTGTCGGGTCTGTTTACCTATACGTCAATGTAGACACAAATAAAAAAAGAGATAAGAAAAAAGAAAAAACACTCTCCGGTCAACACGAAGTTTGTCGGGGAACTGTTTCACTGGTGTCGTTCATCGGCATCCACATGGTAGCTTTAGTCTGGCGCGTTCAATTCAGTCGATGTTGCCTCCCATGGACATGTTCGGGCTACATCAAAGGTCACTGCGTGAGGGGTGCCAAGATCAGAGCCGAGTTGCGAGGTCCCTCTCTTGACGAAGGAACTCTAGCAGGGCTTTGTAAGTAAGTTCGACGCGTCGCTTTCCTCCTGTCGGGAAGATTGGTGGTGCGTCATAACCGCTACCTTAGCAGTCTGTAGAGTCTGTAGAGTGTTGTGAAGTGTGGCTCTGGCGCTATCATATTTTGGGCATGTCCAGAGTATGTGTTCTGTGCTCTCTGGAATCTTGCAAATGTCGCAGTTGGGATCTATTGTTCATGAAATCTTGTGAAGGGACATCGAGCTCGTAAACGGTGAAGGAGGCAAGAGCCTCTTCGGTTGAGCTTGGACTCCGGGACAGAGGAGGGGGCTTACCCACGGCGACTCCGCTGTGGGGGTGTCGCATCCTCGCAGTCATATGTACGAGTCGTCTGGCCTCGCTGAATCTTGGAATAAAAATCTTTGGACGTCCTGACGATGAGCCTCAACGGCAAGAAAATCGGCTTCTTCTTTGCCTTTGATGCCGCAGTGGGAGGGAATCCACTGGAAGGCGAGACGCCATCCTTTGGCTTCGAGTATCTGCGCTTGTCTTAGATTCTTGTGGTCACGCGTTTGAGCCTTCTATTAACGCGGACGCAGTAATTCGGAAATTTGTGCGCGGGGGCGCCAGCTCACTTTGGGTCATTTCCTCCGGGCAGGACTTCCCTATCTACAATCCGTACTTGGACACGCTGCCCAGCCGACATCGGAAGCAGCAGCAACAACTTCAGCAGCAGTCAGCCTTCAAGGTGAATATCTCTCTCGAATGCTCATAGGTGTAACAAAAAGTTCATGGGGGACTTTAGGGTTTTCGTGTGGTCGTTGATTTGGAATTTATTTTTCATTGCACATGTTGTCTCGTAATCTTGGTATTTTAGGCAGACTATTTTATGGGTATTTTGACGATCACCATTGCGTGAATGTTCCTGCACTGGGAGGTCAGTTTTCCTTTTAATGGTGGCTCATGTTTTGACCCTTCAAAAGCCGTTTTGTCTTGTACAAAGGCTTTATTTATATATTTATCGTGTACGAGGCAGGTAGCGATGATATTTCTTTTTGAGTTGAACTGCGTCATTACCAACGTAATTTTGACATAGCAGATGATAGAATAAACCATAAAGAAAATATGATACGGAATTTTTTTTTCAGAGTTGGTGGTAACGCGTTATTGGTAACGGCCTTATCTGTGACGCGTTACTTCTTTCAGTAACGGAGTAACGTACTCATTATTTTGTTTTTCAAAACAGTAACGATTAATGTATTTCGTTACTTATTTCGAGTAACAAGTAATGTAGTTACGTTACTCGTTACGACTTCTTCCCAAGACTTAAAAAAAGATTGGCACCTATATTTACATTTATTTATTTTATTTTTGCTTTTGGGCGGCAAGTTTTACATTCTTCCGCTCATCTCACCTACCTCCAAAGTAGGAACTGCAAGAAACCTAAGGTTATTAAATAAGTTTCTGCATTTACATATTTCTTCAAATATGGCGCTTATGCAAGCTGTATCGTCAAAACAGTAAAATGTTTTAAATCGTAAATAAAATGTACCGCAACAGTAACGCGCGTTACATTTATCGGTAGCGGTAACGCGTTCCTCTTGTTCTGAAATAACATAGATCGGTACCGCATTCCTTTTATTTACAAGTAACCAGTAACGTATTTCGTTAGTTTAGTTCGGTAACGCCTAGAGCACTAGATTTTTTTTGTCATACTTTTTGGGTGGATTTGTTGTATACTGTCATTTATAACCAATGCCAAAAGTCGCTCATATTGACGTTTTAGCGCGCAACCATACTTTTCCGACTGGGGCGCCGCCCTGGGGGCATTTCGCGGAGACTGCGGTTTAGCAGACGGCGCAATGCCGACCAGATTAATAGCTCTTGTACTTTCGGTGTTAAAACTGCACTCGACGAAAAACAGATGGCGCGCCTAAAGAATCGTGTAGGTTGTGCTTACTGCCGCCGCGGTGTCCACAGTCCCCTGCGCCGCAAGCGCCGTCCGGTGTCGAGAGAACCCTCTCGCGTCTGCTAGCGAGGTTAAAAAAGAAGAACATCTGGTCTATAGACGCTTTGCACACGCGCCAAATTACAGCCGCCATTGCTGACCTTCTCTTGTCTTACGGAGATGCCGAGCAACTGAAACGGTAGTTGACGATCCTCTACAAAGGCCGATGCTTTAGAAAAGGACACAGTTGAATCTAATGTGGCAATAACCTGGCCTGCTATGGTAATGATGAAGTGAAATAAAGGAAATAAGAGAAACAAAAACTGAAGGTCAGTTATGGCGGCGTCCATGCACAGCTGCTGCAAAGCGTCTATAATTTATGGTTTAGTTGAACAGGTACTACTCCATTCCGTTGCTTTATTGAACGATAACGTCATATGACAATAGTTCCATTCAGCCGAGTATAACACATTTATGTTAGTGAGCAAAACGAAATCAAAATGTTCTGGAACTCAACAGAACTTGGAGCTAAGTCAAGCTTCGTCGTCCTTTGTCTCGAATGTTCGGATAGCCTCTAGGAAAGGCGGTTTACAAGAAGGCGTTCGGCGTCCGACAATAAAGACGCAATAATAGTTGTCGGCATCACCGGCAGCGAAATCAAGCGCTGCTGACTCGAACATCGTCAACTCAATTTCGACTCCGACCGGGTTCCGTGTAGACGACAGTTTTACCGGCGCGCATTCGTGCGATAATTGCTGGATGTTCCTTGTCAAAGATTCACTGGCCAAACTGCACTCTGCTACGAGGACACAAGTCCTCCCATCTGAGAGACGCATTCCCACTGTTTAAATATCTATGGAACCAGTTGGACCTAGGGCTACTGGGCGCAGCGTACCAGTTTTGCTTTAATGATTGTAAAGAATAAGGCGTATATACAGGGTATTTCACGAAAGGTGGACAAATGCGATATTGCGAAAAGTAGGCGTCGCAACAAAAAAAAAAAAAAAAAAAAACTTGTGTCGTTTTGGTCCTGGGCAGGGGCCTATTTAGGAAAATTTTTAAAGTCCAAGATAATGCGATTCTTAATTATTTTTGTGTAATTAACTTTTTAATATTGTGTTTAAGGGCATGGCTTTAATTAGAAAATTGCTCAGCATCATCGAAAAACAGTAAATCAATAAATTGCAGAACGATAGAAGTCACGCGAAGCATTTTACGGCTTTCTGAAACGCAGCACAAATTCGAGGAGTTTTTAAGTTTCGGTTTGCAATCGGAGCGCATCTCGGCCACGACGGCACAGCGCCCCGTGGAGAAATAGGGCAACCAGCCTCTGCTGCGTCGCACGAGAAGGGTAAAGCAGAGGTTGGTTGCACTTTATCTCCACGGGGCGCGGTGCCGTCGGGGTCAAGGTGCGCTCCGATAGCAAACCGAAACTTAAAAACCCGTCGAATATGTGCTGTTTTTCAGAAAGCCGTAAAGTGCCTCGCGTGCCTTCTGTCGTACTGCAATTTGTTGATTTGGTGCTTTTCGATGATGCTGAGCAATTCGCTAATTGAAACCATGCCCTTGAACACAATATTAAAAAGTTAATTACGCAAAAATAATTAACGACTTAATTATCCCGGACTTTAATAATTTTCCTAAATAGGGCCCTGGGCCAGGGCCAAAACGACATAAGCTTTTTTTTTTTTTTTTTTTTTGCGACGCATAGTTTTTGCGAGATTGAATTTGTCCACCTTTCGTTAAGCACCCTGTATATATTTTGCTTTTTTTTAAGGATTGTTCAAGTTCCACATTTCACTCAATATCCTATAGGTTCTATCTCAAAATCTGCGGCATCGAAACTCGAGTCCGGGAATCGCGGGGAAGGCAACAATTCAGTCGACGTGTCGCCAAGATATCCTTTCGCTTCTCGTATGTTTCCTGTGAGGAGACCTTCATTATGTCTCTTAGCAAGATGTCGACTGCTTTCTTGCTAATAGACACCCCACAAAGACTTTGAGGATCATAGGAAGTTATGGTTCTGAAAGTCCTCGCGGGACCTTCCGCCAAGTGTCCCGTTTGAGCCTCCGGTACCATAGTCGTCTTACCGTCCGTCCCTCCCTCCACAAGGTGTACGACGTGGACGGCGGTGCCATGGACGAGGACGGAGACATCCCGCCTCGGAACCAGACAACCGTGCTGCCGGCTCGGCGCTCCGGACACAACGACCGGTTCTACGAGGAGCACGAGTACGAGCGTCGAGTGCGCAAGCGCAAGGCAAGGCTGGTGTCGGCGGCCGAGGACGCCTTCACCCACATCAAACGGATGCACGACGAGAATGGTCAGGGCACACGTCTTCTCGTGTTTTGTCTGTCACAACCGGCGGCTGATGTAATATGTTTACTGGATTCGTGCCGCGCCGTTGGGGCCCCGATTTCTACAACGGTGAGGCTGCAAAGACGCCGGCACGAAACATACGATATATTTCAAAACGGTTGAAAGATGGGCTAGCTGTAAGGTGCTTACTCATAATTCAAACGAAAAGCACGCAACGATTACACCTGGCACTATTTGGCCCTCGTGAAGGTCTTCCGCCAGGAAACCTCAAATAAACAAAAATAGAATGACAGAAAAAAAAAAAAGACACATCACGGACAAATGGTTACTCACAACTGAACGTTAATTAAAAATTAGAAAAAACGTCCAGCCTTTCCACTCTCGTGAAGAAGGAAGACCAGCGGAGCTGTACTCGATATACTCTGTGTGCTTCTTCCTTGTCGTCGTATGTTTTTCGCGCTGTTTCCTACGATGAATTGCCACCAACGCGCCCAACTATCCATTTTTCTATTATAGCTGGAAAGGTAGGCGCTATCTACGAGCGACGGCGGAAACCATACTGGTTGTGTGCTTGTTGCCGTCGCTTGTAGATGGCGGTAGCTGTCCAGGTAGGTCTGTGTCGACATACACGGACACGATCCTGGGGAACCTAGCCCTTAACAATTCTGCTGTAAAAAAAAAAAAAAAAAGTCAAGTTTATCGCGCACACCGTCAGAGATGCGCTTTCGTCCTAGGAGGACGGCCACTGAAGGACGTTCTGAGAGATGCTCTTAGACAAGTTATTAGAAACAGATTTAAGATAATACAGGGATATGTGAAAATAAAAGAACAATGGACTATACTCCGTTTCACTTTGATTGCGAGCGAAGCCTAAACTACAAGCACGGGAATATTGCCCCGAGCAAAGCTTGCACTGCGCGAACGCGTGTGTTCGGCACGGACTAGAGCCACTAAATGAGCTGGTCTTAGAGTATCGGCACTCTGGTCCCCGAAATTGTTGTGGGCGCCGCCATTTTGGTGCTTGTGCAGAGCAGACGCAACTGCCGATCGTCATGATTCAAAAATGCGACATCCTCAGCATCGGTGTTAGGAAGCTCACGTAATATTTCTTTGCTCTGTCGTGAGCTGTTTAAACATTTATGGGGGACGAAAAAGCGTTTCCTGGGGATTTCAGATAAAGTTCAGATAACTGGCAACTATGATTTTAAGCTACAATATGGGCAAGTGTCGTTACTCTAAAGCGTAGCTTGTTTATAGTAAAAAAATCACTCGCTAAATGTATAGAAAATCGCTAAATCTAGCGACAAAATCGCTAAAATGGCAACTAGAACGGACGTTGGCAACCTGGAGTACTCCGTTGTAGCTTCTGCTGCCTGCCCTCGCACTAAAGTGAAATGGAGTATTGGTACCGCGAGGATAAAGTTGCCCAAATGGCTGGTGGTTTCGATAGCCTTCCAACAGCTCAAAATCTCCCACGTCTTGTTCCACGCCTCTAGCGTCGCGCACGCATAGAAGGGCGACACTATAGACCCCTTTCAAAATGCTGTCCTCTGTTCAGCTGTGGAATCCCTGCACAATGGCGGACAAAAACCGCAACGTCACGGCACACTTAATATGTTTGGTTGGAGTAGAAAAAACACACCCACAGAGAAAGTTAATGAGCGCAATAACGTTGCACTTTCGACGCTGTTTGATTGGCTCGTCGGCTCATACCGTTGGCCACGCTCCGAGCGTTCGCTATCATATGAAATGACTTGCACGTTTCAAGGTGTCAGTTGTTCCGCCATTGTGCAGGGGTTCCGACTTTCTAATAATTGACACGTAAATTTCGAAAGGAGTCTTTGAGCATTTGGACACAGTTGATTGAATAGTCACGCCCGAATGCTGATACGGCGCTCGTATTCAACAAGTTCGCTGCGTCTTGGTCGCATGCGTTAAAGTTTAGTTAATCAATCCACGAAAGCCTCGTTTACCACGATCTAGAAGACTAAAATTGTTCAAAAAAAATCTAAGTGCGACTGGGGTAAACTTTGGTGGCGTTTATAAATTCATTATGCGCAGCAGTGACAGCATCAGCAACTACAGGGTATATAAAACGGTACCTAAATTCACGTGACATCCGTAGATAGAGCAGCCATGAGTCTTGGCATTCTCGCTTCTTGGCACTGCCTTTGTTTAAACTTTTGTTTCATGTGAGAAGTTAGGACAGCGATAATGGGGTGAACAGTTACCGGGATATCACATCATTCTCTTCTCATTTCTAATATTTGGTCCCCTTCATTTGCAATGTCTCATCCATCTATTAATCGAACCTCTTTTCTTTCTTTTTTTCCACGCCTCGCTTGTCCCGGCATGTATGGTTATCTTTCGCGCATTAACGATCGCCACGTAATTACGTCAACGATTACGGGATCTCTTTATCTTTATTTTCGTTGCTTTTTGAGTGGCTGCCACTGGACCCAATGACGGTTGAGGGCTGAGCTTCTTTTGCGTTTCTTTCTCTTTCCTGAAGCCACGGGCACCCTTTTGTTTTACTGTTGTGGCAGCCTCCTCGACTGTGCCGCCGAGTCGTTCTCCTGACCCTCGTTCGGCTCAGCGAACTTTACCGTAATTTACCTTCGTCTTATTCGCCATTAACACACGACTAAAGGCCACTAAATCAGCTGCACTTGGGCCTTACAACGCTCCGTTTCCCGATTTTCTTGGGCGCTGCCATTTTGATGCTTAGTGCAGAGCGAGTGCAATATTGACCCTTTTCAAAAGCCCACCGGGCAGGCAACATTGGCGGTCGCGACGGGCTAGGAGCCTAGGACTCCCTTCCGCGTGGCTCCGGCCCAAAGTCTCAACCCTGTCCCCCAGTGGTTACGGTGGTGGGGTAACGCCGACAAGGTTTGACCAGAGGAAAATTGGCGACTCTCTCGCCGGTCGGAAAGGTGGGGGGTGATGTTTTATTAGTTCTTTTGCCCGATCCGCCAGAGGTCATGCTGGTGATATTCCACACTGCCTGGGGATAAATAGGGGGAGGAAATCGGCTTAGGAAGGCGGGAGAAATCATATGGTATTTTTTTTTTAGACTTAGGCTAGGTGGCGCAAGCTACCGCCCGTTCCAAACGGTATAACCATTAACATCCATCCATCCATCCACCCTAGGTGGCGAAAGCTACCGCCCGCTATAAAGAGTACAGCCGTTAGTCTCCACCCACCAGCCAAGAATCATACTTTCGGTTTCTACGCTAGGTGGCGCAAGCTACCGACCGTTATAATGGGTACATTCATTAGCATCCATCCATCCTCGGGCACGAAGCCTGTGATTGGATCAGAGTCCTCGCCGAACGTTGACGCAGCAGTCGTGTCCAACAAACGTCCACGGTGCGCGTGCCCAAACAATGGCGGACGCGCATGGTAGGCGTTCCAGCTACTATAGACCTTTCCAGCGCTTATCACACGGGCGAAAAATGCCGAGTCACTGAGCTGCGGACGCCTGCGCAGCGACCGATATACCGCAGAGCAAAACTACAGCGCAATCTCAGAAGGCGTTCCACAGCCCAGCGGACAAAGATAGCCGCTCGCATAAAGGGAACGCTTCTGCGAATAACGTTTTTACCACGTCAAAAAAAAAAAAGTGGTCTTTCGATGTTTTTTTTCTTTTTTTTTTTTTCTTGTTTTTTTTTTTTTTTTTTTTTGTCAGAAAAGTGTCACGCTGTCGCCGGCCGCGATCCTGGCGGCTTCGTGGCAGCGCTGGTTGAAGTGGCAGGCGCCTGTTCCGCTGCAAGTCGCTCTCCAACTTGACAGTCCACGAAAGCTTCGGCAAACCGGAAATGGGACGCCGCGACGACAGCGAAGCTCGTGTTCGCTTTTCCTTCTTTCCGGAACCTCTGTACGACCAACCACCGTGGATCGCAACATCCAACAAAAGAACACCCCGGCTTTCCTTTTCTTTCTTTTTTTTTCTTTTTTGTCGTTTGTTGCTGTTTTGGGACCACTTTCGATTCTAATACGTCAATAGACAGACCTGTCGGAGACGCGGTTTAGGCACCCTGCTTTTGAAGCGGGTCTATTGGCGACTGTGTACGATTCGAAAATGCGACTTCCAGAACATTTGACACGGTGTCAGCAAGCTGAGGTGACATCGCTTTGCTCTATGGCGCACTTTTTTTTTTATTATTGTTATTGCTATTATTTTTAGTGTACGTAGTAACACCTTTTCCTGCAGTTTCAGACAGAGCCTGAAATAACTCTGGAGACAATGATTTCAAGCACCTATATGCAGGCGGCAGAGGAACCAACTGGCTAGATGCAGTATCCAAAGTAATAATGTTTATTTCTTTATCAAGTGCAATTGTACATGATGGAAAGGGACTGCGAAAAAAAAGCTGCGTTTTTTCAGCTTCATGAGTCCTGAGCCCCCTCCCAATTTCGCAACAGCAGCAGGTCACAAAAGAAATGTATCACTTTGTAAACAAACGAACTAAATAAAAAAAATACACAGGTCATTAATATAATATAGAACATTCCAATGTAGCAGATAATTTAGCTGTGCTAAACAGGCGGTCTACTGAAAAAAAACAAGAAAGTGCACACTCAAGGGTTCAAGACATTCAAGGGTTCAAGATTCAAGATATATAGCACGACTTTGTAATACTATACACATTCACTAAATTCATTCTCAACGGTTATAACTGCAACTTGTAAATGAGGACATTGAGTGGAATATCTACTTAGTCATTGCTATACAAATTCACTCTACAAGAAAAAAAACAATTCTTTGATATATTTTACTGTTGATGTTGAAGGATGAATATTCTGAGTATTATGGTAATTAACTATGGTCGGAAGCACGTTGGATAGCATTTGCTCAGCATAGGGTGTTCTGCAACTGGGGACTTTCCAATTGTCTAGGCTACGAGTGTGATATGTTGCCAATTTCAGTGATAAGGACGCTAGTTCACTAAAATTGACATTATTTTTTTATTTCAGACAAATACCTTATACATAACCGATATT